CCAATTGTATCACGGCAATTTTATTCTACAGAGTACCTTTTCAACTTTTTCCAATAACTATCTGACGCTAAAGGGTAAGTTTGAAAGTTTCAAATGACCTGGGACTGGGAAGTATCCGACTGAGAAACACTCTGATGAAAAGTGTAAAGTGGCACTTTATCCAATGAAATCCGTAGCAACCGCACGGGCACCACTTAAAAGTCGGTTTTGTCGTCGAGTAAATTCAAATGTTGCCGTGCATTTGAAGTTACTTTGGATCTATCCAGCCGTGGGTCAGAGGTAGTTCTCACTATTACGAATTTACCAAGTTCACATGGTGGTTAGGTGTTGGGTGATCGATATAGTCAGGTGGCTGGAGGCACACAACTCCAGGATTGTATATGCCTCTGGAGCTATCAAATTTCCGGTTTAAGTTCCAAACCTAGAATCAAGTTGGATGCCATTGGTTCCATTGAAACTAGGTAATTTCTTAGTGAAGTATATCTATCGCCCCTGTCCATTGATCTACGAGCATTATTAGCATCAATAGAGACGCAGCTGACGATTCCCATTCCGTCACAATAATTGTTTCGGATGCAGCAACTGCTCTTATACATAACCAATTATTTCCTGCCAATCAATTCCCCACCCTTCCACTATTTCATCCCTTATCATCAAATTTTCATTTAATATTTAGTACTGCTGTTTTATAATCCCGTTTATAATAAATCATTCTAGTGATACGTGATATCGAGTGCAAATAGCGTTCGTTCGAGTGCAAAATTACCCATATACTAGCAAAACTCCGAAAACACCGTACGCCTTTGGAATTCACCAGAGTATCACCTGAAAAAGGTGTGATAAGACGACATATGAGGATTCAGGCAGAAGAAAGTTATGCGCCACTGAGTTTACAGTAACGACAACAGCATGCTGTATTCGTCGAGATACTCGTCAGAAAAGCCGATTCCCTAGTAGCTATTCGTGAGTTTTCATCACCCGAAGCAATTCTTGACTCTGTTACACGTGTGTTCTCCTCCCTCGGCTTGCTTCCTTCAAACTTTTCACCTGGCTTCACCAGAGCTAATGTACATAAACTCATTACACCTCCACCAAGTCCATCACAGCTCAAACAATTTAAACCTAATCAGTTGTAAGTCGACTGCAGCGAAACGTTCTAATAGTTTGGGGTGGAAAATTTGGAAAGCCTTTGGAGTCTTTGCTTGAATCCATTATCACGTAATGACAACTTTTTATCTGAGTGAAAATCCACTTATATAAGCACTGGGATTGGACACCAGTCGTACATAGTCCGCATCGATTGTAACCACTCATGTTGAAAGCCCACTTTAGCGATGAAGCTTCTGATGTCAGACAGCCAGCCGAGTTTTTACTCCTCTCTTGTACATTGTCCCTTCGGTCTCAGACATTAATGCCAGATTTATTTCTATTTTTCTTCCAGTGCTGCATTCACACCATGTTTAAAATCACAAATTCGTTTTGCGCATAACGTTAATGGCATTACCGCTGTGGATGAAAGAGATTACAGTGTCTGCCCGATGGAGACAAATTTGTTTTGCTGCTGCGCCAGTTTTTAGCGCGATATTCGAACAACTTGCGAAGACAAAAGAATATTTTATTTTTTCATTTCGTATGAGATCTCCGAATATTCGCGCTAGTTTTTTTCACGGCATATATTTCACACTCCGGATATCAATTTCTCGCGCTGCCTGAGGCAGATTCTCGACCAATATCGATGTACATTTGTTCCTCCGTTGAATAAGACCTTATGAAATTGAAAATGTTGAGCGGAATGATGCCGGATAATATTGGATATTACAAGCTCATCATTAAACTATTAAACATTACTCTTGCTAATAGAGAATAAAGTGAATGATTAGTAAATAAATGTGATACAATGGCCCATTAAATTAATAATTAATTTAATAGCGCATCAAAATGCTGAAGCAACAAGTCGTCTGACCAAAACAGGGCATAACCACTGGAATATTCCATTAATTATTATCATAAATTCAGGTGTATCTGTAACAGATTTTTCTTCGGCTTTATATTTTTCCTTTTCGAACTTTCATTGTCATTTATCTCCACGAAAAATCAGAATCGTAAATTTCCGCGTGGAGTTTCTATTCAGGAGTACAATTGAAGGAAGACCATAAAGATGAACAACAATTTCTCGCACAGTATATCGATCAGGAATTTCGCATTGAAACTTGAACAGCTTTTCCGTCCCTTCCAATAGGAGACGGGGAATATCATTGGTGGAAAGCCTGGGAGAAGGTATAAACGTGATATTCAACTCCACCGGTCTCACTTTGCATGAATTGCACCTATCCCTTCGAGTCATGTTTCAAATCTCCCGTTGTAATGCTTCAATGGAAGCCAGGGCCTCTGGTAATTACCGGTAATTATATGGCGTACACGTGATAGTATATCCATTTCGGATCATAAACTAAAAGACGAAAAAGAAGATTAAAACCGTAAAATAATCCGTATCACCACATACTTTTTAGTTTTACTTTTTGACATATCCAGACTTTTTTACTAGATTAACTCCACTGCAGTCGGAGTTCTAAATCAAGTTCGAATGAATCATGAATAAACCATGGAATGTAAAACGGAGGAGAAAGTAGTGAAAACTGAGGAATCAATTTTTCAAGTTGGACCTCAACCTAATCGTCCACGTCACTCCACCAAATGAAAAATGAATTCCTCGGACTCACGTCTTTCTGGATGCATTAAGATATATAAATGGACAGACATTACCGAGCCCGACTACTTAAGTTATATGTCATATCCCTTTTATTATGCCTGTTTAACGTGAGTTTTTTACACATTTACTTTTTACGATTTCTATCTCGTGAATTTATGAAGGGTTTCATGGAGACAGTTCTATTGGACAATTGAATTTACTTGATTTTTTATTACCTCAAGCTGAGAAAAAACTTGTTAAATTGACTCTGAAGTTCGCTAACCACATAATGTATTGGCTCCGACAGAATTCTGAAAAAAAAACCTGATGCTGGGAAGGAAACGTAAATTATGAAATTATCTGGAATGTATTTTTGTAATTTTACATTTCCTTTTCCCATTACCACAGTATTTTCATGGTTTTGATAGACACCCCTTCGTTTTAGCTTTCAGCCTCTCCTACTATCCTCTCATTATTTTTGCGGTGTGATGGGCCGACTTTCCTTACTGCACCCATTTGGCTTGTACTGAGGGAAACCATGGAAAATATCAGTAGTGCAGACGGTCGGTAATGCAGGGATTCTACTGTGTTCATCAGTCACACCGACTCGGTGAATATAGCAGCTCTTTACACTCGTGACTAACGCTGGCAGTCTACACGCCGAGAGATGTGCCTAACCGGGCACCTATTCAAGTACTGACCCATCTGAGCGTTGCTTAGCCTGGATGACCGCTGGAGTCACTACCCGCGGTGCGACTCCCACCAGTTATCTGGAATGTATTTTTTCGTGAATATAGTGGCGTGCACGATATTCGCATAGAGCCGGGGCATGTTTACATCGTAAGCAATGGCAGTCATGCACTAAGTCACGTACACGTGAATATTTATTGAGAACTGATACATGAACTGCAGAGGTAACGATCTATCACTTTGTGATTTGAATCGCCCTGGAGCGAGAAACTCTGCCAGTCCCAAGCATCAGATAACCCTGGACTTTCGACGAGGTAATCTCACACTAATACTAATTACTCGCTCGCCTCCTCCTCCCAACCGGAAATCGAACGGCAGCCATCTTGAATCGTACTTGTAATAGAATCACTGAAGATCCTTGTAAATTAGATTTAATCTTAAGGTCAATTGGCTGTGACTAAATGCACCGGCTATGTACCTGTGGGGGGTAATGAATTTTCCAGGATCACAGAATGCTCTCAGGCCGTTATGTTAACCGTGAGATGCTCAGCATAATAATGAGCGGCCAATTAGAGTTAAAAAATTATTTGGATTACCCCGGTGTCAGGTTTGAATTAGAATTTATGGGGATCGAGGATTAACAGGATTCAACCGTTTGTGATGCACGGAGAAAAAAATTTCCTACAATCTAATCTGGCAGTCATTTTTTTGTAGAAAAGGTCGAGTTTTTATAGCGTTTCACATCTCGTGACGTCACAGGAAATTGTTGAAAAAGATTGTGGCTGAGGTAGGAAGGGAGATGATAATTCTTGATACAATTTTACAAGAAAAATTCACTCAAAAAATGGATAGTCCAGACGGAGAAAAACGAAGACTAAATGTTTTTAATTTGTTGGTTTATCCTAAGGATATCAAAGTTTAGAGTTGATTATCCATTCATCTACATGGAGGATGAAATAACTTGGAGTAAGGATCTTAATATTTATTCATGTCTTATCGTTGTTAGGAAATATAGAAGTTTCAGGGAGATGGGGTAATCTAAAGTCGATAAAGTTTGTACTTTCGTGCATCTTTCAAGAGTCGCGTAATGATCCGCCATTGAAATACTTATCAAAAATAAATAAACAAGTAATTAAATGCCTCTTTTCTCTGAATATATAGTATATTATATCAAATATATTGGATCTTCATTCCAGCAAATAAATTTTTGATCAAATGATCCAAGTAATGATAGCAGTATCGAACGATGTAATTTAATACCCAAATATTCATGGAAAGCATAGGTCCTACACCGGCAAGAATAATTGTTTAATATAATATTATATTTAAGTATAGTACACCATACTTGACTGAACATTTTTTTCTCAGCGCACGCCGGGAAAATATCGAGTTTGAGGGAATTTTTTTTTTAATGACATCAATTTTTGTTCGGGTGTATATGATTTATGTAATTCAACAGAGAACAAATATATTGTAACAAAATAACATTTTTACCGACACAATACAA